CAAACGAAGGGAAGAATTTTGTATGGAACTTAAATTACCAGGGAAAAAAGAGAGATGAAATACAGAGTCATCTCTGTATCTAGAAATTCTCTGATACATGTAAGGTACTTGACACATGCTCAAGAATAGTCCCCTGATTATTTGCTAGAACTATAGCCAAAGGGACAGTCCAGTATTCAAATGTTTGAAAGAGCTCAAAAGTTTCTAGGGTTATTTTTAAAAAAAAAATCTCTTTAGAAAAATGTAGGGAAAAACATGTTCTCAACATAGCATTGCTTTTATAGAGAAAAATACACCTCAGTATTTTTGCTGAGTTGTTCTTCTAATATGGAATTCATTCTGGATGGTTGTGTGTCAATAGGAGACACGCCAAAACAAGCAACGTACATGTACAAAATGTTGTATGAAGTAATTAAAAGAGATTGACTATTCCCCCATCCTGCAAAAAAAAAAAAAAAAGGAGTTGCACATGTTGAATAGCTTGCAAGAACCTCAGAATATTTCAATTAAAAAACAAAACAAAACACAAATCCAGAGGTTGAAGAGAAAAACTGCCAACACGTTGAGACTCCAGTTCTCAGGTGGGAGAAGAGATGGTAGCCTGGCACTAGGAACCAGGAATACACTGGAGTGGAATTGGGACAGCGACAGAAGAATAGCACCTATAAAGGTTTTGATTTCATGTGCATACTTGCAATGTCAGGACTTTATTCCATGGTCTAAAAGATGATTTCAAAAACTTGGTACAAATTAAGCCCTTGCAACAGTTATCTTAGAGATCATTTTTATACATGATGCACTCAGGCAACATGGCATTTTAAAATTCATTTTTGCTTCCACATTTTTAAAATGGCATTGTTGCATGCCTTGATTTACTGGTAAATTACACTTGCAGCTTTTAGAAGAAAAGCTAGATGTAGAAATTATAATTAGGGCTAGGAAAAGAAACCTCTGTTTCAGTTTTAGGCTGTAATATATTTGCTAGTGAAAGAACAATCCTGCACTGCTTTGAAAAACAGAGCAAACATACATACACCCAAAAGGCACAGATCTCTTTCTCTAGAACAGGAGTGTCAAACTTGCGGTGTCACATTGTCGTCACGTGACATATTGTGACTTCCCCCCTTCGCTAAACGGGGTGGGCGTGGCCAGTGGGTGTTGCATCTGGGCCATGGGCCACAAGTTTCACACCCCTGCTCTAGACCTAAGAATGCTATGGAGAATTGTGGGCCACAGCAATCCACCCTAATCTGGGAATAAAACCCTTTTCTAGGTTGCATTTTGCCTTAATCCATAGGAATGTATTTCCTTCTTCCTTTACCTCAGAGATGGAAACAAGTTTTCCAAATCCTTTAAACTTTGGAACAGTTTACATAGTGAAATTAATACCAACAGTAGCATCATTTAGGATCTACTGTATCTAGTTATATTTATTTCCTTGTCCTTTAAGAAACAAATAAAAAAAATCAAGCAGGGTGATAAGATTGCAGAACGGCTTTCAGAAGCGAGTGTCTTATCTGGGCAATATGAAGACGTGTTCTTGAGCTTTACTTCAGGAAATCAGAAGAAAGAATAGCCACTATGTAGTGAGCAGACTAACCCGATTAGTTCACTTCCAAAAACTACAGGAAAAACATGACATTATAGAAAAACACAAAAAAAAAGTTCTGGTTTTTGGCAGCAATCCGCTGTGCAAGTTACTCAGTTGTGATTCATTAACACTTCCTCAGTTATTGTACATTAAAAAAAAAAAAGCTAGCAGAAAACCTTAACACTGGCTGATTTAGGCTAGCAATATTAAAGGGGCTTGTTGTGGTCTGCCAGCAGCCTGCGGAGCTGGCAACAGAGTCAGACAGTGAGGAGGCTGGGGAGGACCAAGGGCCAGTCCTGGAGTCTGGGGAAGGCTCGGGCAAGGGCTTTGCATCAGAGGCAGAGAAAGGGCCATCTGGGAGGTACATGCTGCTTCCAGAGCCTCCAGAGTCAGACCTCAGCGAGGCAGAGGAACAGAGGGAGCCTATTCCCAATGCGTACATGTGCAGGGCTGCCAGGAGGCAAGAACTACTAAAACAAAAGGGACAACTTTGGAGTAGGGCTGGGAGATGATTGGTCCTTCCCATAAGACTTAAAAGAGGAGTAAAGGCACGTGGGCCTTTGCAAGAAGCAATGTTTGTTCATTCAGTTCAGCTTAAAGCCTGAAGCTCTGTTTGATTCTGGACTCCGTGTGGCTTTGCCAATTAGGTCTTTGGCAGCGTGTCAAGGGAAATAAAGGTGGGTGATTATCCCGAAGGACTTCTCCCAAAGGACTCTTTATAACTAATTGGGACTCCTCTGTGAATGAACAGAATTCATAACTGTTGCAATAAAAGAGGTTTTTGGGACTACTTGTGTGTTCAGAACAGGTCTCTGTCTGGAAAAAAAATCCAAACAGATGAGGATTCTGCTTCCATCATTAAAGAGAGCTCTCAATTTGCAATCATCAAAAACAAGATGCCATTTATTTGGCCTCTTGACCAATCCATCCTCAAATTTTTGCCCTATATTTATGAGAAGTAGAAATCACAGGATGAAAGGTATGGAACTTGAGTTTATTTATTAGATTTTTATCCATCTTTATTACTTTATAGGTAACTCAAGAAAGTAAACATACATTAATACTCGGCTATGGAGATTCTCAATCATCCAGGGCATGGTTGTCCCAAAAGTGCTTTTCCAAAAAGCAACTGGATCTTTTTATTCAACAGTAGAAGCTTCTTGGATGGGAAGCAAAACATTTTCAAGAAAAAAAAACAAGGAAGTCTAATTGCATTTTGGAAAAGCACCTTTGGGATACATAATACTCCTTCCCCCTCCTATTTTCCCCACAGTAACAACCCTGTGAGGTGGGTTGGGCTCAGAGACACTGATTGGCCCAAAGTCACCCAACTGGCTTTCACACCTAAGGCAAGATTAGAATTCAGTCTCCTGGTTTCTAAGTCAGATTTTTAACTGGTACAGCAAACTGACTGAAATTAAATTAACTTTCTTAAATGATTCCTTCAATTGTAGTATTATAAACTGTGCAGAAATAATTCCTGAAGTGCTCCCATATTGTACACTTCTACCCTATTTATATTTATGAGGGATCAATGTATCTATATTTTCTAGTTGCCCTATTTTAATACAGAGCATTTAGAAACAAGAAAAAGAGAGAAAAGGGTGCCGGCTTTAAGCAAAACAAACCCTCTTTATCCTGGGAGTTAGCGAAGGAATACAGTACCTTGTTTTACAGAAATAGCATTTCAACTGGAAAGTATATATCAGCTTGTAGATACTGAAAACTTAATATACAGTTACTAAAATGAAAGTACTGTGAAGAACTGTTCTGAAGCTTCATGAGTCGAAATCATTACTTTATTGACTAATAAACTGCAAACCAAGTACGGTATTTTCACCTTCAAGTTTCTATTGTTTCTCCCATACGATGACAAATACAGTTTCTCCTTTATAACAGGCCTATTGACAGAGCAGAAATGTGTTTTTTTCTCCTCCATGGTTATCCCTGGTAATAAATAACTAATATTTTTTAATCACCTTAAATATATATATAAAAAAAAATCTCCACACATACATTTGGCTTAATTATTCAGAAATGTAATTCAAGCTGCTGGCTATTACCTTTAAAGTTCTACATGGTTTGGAGCCTGGTTATTTTCAAGAACTTTTATTCCAAATAGAAACTGCCTGCCCCGGAAATACTTCCTCTTAAGGTGTGGTGGCTGATGAGCATTTTCTACAGGAGATTCCCTTGTGTGGAATGGACTCCACCCAGAATAAAACCTGTACTCTCCCAACATTCATGAAGTATTTAAAAATTTGCCTAGTCCAAAAGCTTTTGGGAATTAAAGCAGCTGTTAGATGGCTGTACCTGGCACAATTTAAGGGGGCTAGTAACATGTATTATTAAAGCTGTTTGTGATGATTAGATGGGTTACTTGCAGTTGTTTTATGGTTATTGCATTTCTTTGCTATGTTATTCTATCTGCGTGCTTGCAAGCCACTTAGTGTCACAGTGATTTGAAATGGCATATAAGCCTTCATACAGAAAATAAATGACTTGCATATAAGCATATTCTGAAATGTTCTTGTGATACAATGGGGCAGTAATATAATCCATCATTGGCTAAAATTAAGCGATTTAGGAAAGGGTGGATTAAAAAACATGGATTTTGCAAGAGTATAAAAAAAGGAAATATATGTAAATATACCATCGTCCCTACAATAGGATTATTACCAGTGGTGAAATCCAATTTTTTTTACTACCGGTTCTGGGGGTGTGGCTTGGTGGGCGTGATGTGGCTTGGTGGGCGTGGCAGGGGAAAGATACTGCAAAATCCCCATTCTCTCTCCACTCTGGGGCCAGCCAGAGGTGGCATTTGCTAGTTCTCCGAACTACTCAAAATTTCCGCCACCGGTTCTCCAGAACCTGTCAGACCTGCTGGATTTCACGCCTGATTATTACCTTCAGTTATTAACTTATCCTACTAGTTTAACCTATAACATTAACTTATTCTATAACATACTAATTAATGTTTTTCTTTGGCAATTAATAATCTATCCTTGAAGAACTCTTACATTTTATAATTTCTACTATGCAGGAAACTATGACAAAACTGTATGTGTGTGCGTGCACAATTTTTTCAGGGCAAATGAATACCATGATAAACATTGCTTTCCAGAACATAAGCAGAGCAAGGGCAAAAAAATGGGAGCTGAAACTTACATTTAATTATATTTAAATATGAATTTAATTACATTTTCATTCAATTAATCAAGTTCAGTTAATATGATCATCCCCTCTATATTTAATTCTTTGCAGTTCCCAGTGTATGTTACTAAAAACCAAGAATTTTTATAAGGGAACTGGAAGGCCATCAGCTGTGGACTTTTGCTCTATGGAATGCTCATGATTTTGACACAAATGAAGGAAAGGAAAAGAAAAATGTATCTATGGCTCAACTTACGCGGATTTTGATGATCCTTGTCTTTGTACCACAATTCTTCTTAAACAGCATCTTCTAAAAGAGAAGCAAAAACCTAAGGTGAAAGTCAGCTAAAGCTTGAATGAGAAATGTAACATCACCTCATAATGAACATCAGTGGAGTATTAGAAAGGAGCCTGAAGAGTGCATTAAAATAATTTTTAAAAATCCAACACTTTGAACTTAAAGAGTGTTATTGCATTAGAAATGGGGAGCAGTTCAAAATGACTGTGTCATCTCTAAATGAGATAGAAGAAAAACAGAGTAAACTTCTGGCTGTAAGTATTACCAGTTGGTATATAATAGGACTACCTTGGTACATAATTCACCTTTTTAATGTTATCCTGTTATATTTTACTCTTAATTAACTAAACTGTGTACCTGATGCAATTCATTCTAAAAGAATCACAAGCATTTTTCTATATGCATATATGATTCCCTAGATGCCCACATTTTGAATATTAGTTTAGCAATATTTCTATTCTTCCCTTAACAATTGTTTTACAGTGTTCACTGGAAAAAAATACCATTAAGCCTTTAAATTCATGGCACAGATTTGATTTGATTCGATTTAAAGAGAAATCAACAGTTTAAAAAATTAAATAAATGACATATAAACTTTAAAAATTTCAAAGGACAATCGCTGAATTATGCTGCTGCAAGACAAGAGATGTCTATTCGGAATGTCAGTTCTACCCTTATATTTCTCATGTAATGGAAGTGGGGTAATTAAAAAGCTATTATATAAAAGTTTGCCTGCCTTTTTCCAACTGCATCCTATTTGCCCATAGCTATTTTGTAAACAACCATGCCCTTAAGGGATGGTTATTTTGTAAGACACCCAGAGTTCCTGTCAAAATTTTAAAAATTTTAAAAATGACTGCAATCTTCTAACTGTTAAGAATTCCTGCCTATTTGTCCTTGCTCATTATATTTACATTTTCTTCAGTGGAAGATGAAAATTTATGTGGGGAAAATATAACCTGCCTTTTCTCTATTCCTATGCATTTGCTGGTTGATGAACTGTGGTCACTTTTTATTCAGGGTTAGCTAGAACATTGCTATTACTTAATGCTAGCAACTTAACATTAAATTTCTTGCTATCTTTTTGTTGTGTGCCTCTTAAAGAAGGCATTGTCCTACTAAGGCAATCTAAAAAGACTTTAAAATAAGTTAATTTAGTAGCAGCCTAATGTGCTACTAAATTCTAGTAAGTAAAGCTCCTATTCTCCATGCCAGGTAAAAGTAGTGCCAGCTACTTTTCTAGATCTCAATTAGATCTCTATTAGATGCAGCAAAACAAGATCCCACAGTAGCCAATTCTTATTCTGCAATGTTATGTCATTAAGTATCTTCCCATTTTGTTAAGAATTTGTTTAAACTATTTATATTAGCAATAGTTGGGGATGCCAAGTATTTCTACTTGAAACTTCCTGCATCTGCTCTTCCTTATTTAGCAATGTGAAAGAAATCTGACATAGATTTGTAAGATAATTGGTCTTATAATGGACTGCACATTTGCAGTAACAAAGTCTGATAATGTTTTTGTTCTCATCAAAAATCTGCAAAAAAAAGATGTCTCCTTGCAGAAAAGAAGCACGCATCACAAAAATTTGTATTAGAATTATTTATGTATATTAGAGAAATTAGCATGTTGAAAACTCCAGTAGGAAAATTTGGGGATGACAAACTCCTATGAAGTCTATACCTGACTTTTAACTGAAGAAAGATCAATACAATGAAAATGTACAATAGTAACACCAGATTTCTAGAAATATCCATATTTATTAGATTTGTATCTTGCCTTTCATTCAAAGCATGAGACAAAATGTACATCACACAATGATCAGGGATTATGGCAGAGAGTAGATTTGAACTTGGGTTGAACCCAATACCAAGTCAACACTTTAACTAGTATACCTCTAAATCAGTCATCTTCCCACTTCTCCTGCCTCTAAGTATCTGCTTTATATGCATAACAGCACACATTAATTTCTACTGTCATGCAGTAAAGCCATGCAACAGCTTCTCCAATCAGTTTCAAAAGTTACGTGTGGCAAAGGCCACAGATATTACATTTGTTTGTTTGTATCCTGCCTTTATTATTTTTACAAACAACTCAAGGCAGCAAACATACCCAACACACCTTCTTCCTCCTATTTTCTCCACAAGAACAACCTTGTGAGGTGGGTTGGGCTGAGAGAGAGAGAGAGAGTGACTGCCCAAAGCCACTCAGCTGACTTTCATGGCTAAGGCAGGACTTGAACTCGCTTTCTAGCCTAGTGCTTTACTACTAGACCAAACTGGCTCTTATCCTGCCTTTCCTTTGGGAAGTCAAGACAGAGCATCTCCCCTAATTTTACATACTGTATGAACCAGCCCATGGGTTAGGCTAAGCTGGGAGAAGTTGAAGTGTTCAAAATCACCAGCTGGCTTCAAATGGGGATTTGAATCTTGATCTCCCCAGTCCCAATTCAATAGATTAACTATTATACTGTGCAGGTTCATTGTGAGGTAGAAATTCATACCAACAATGGTTAATATCAAATTACTTCTTTCAGTGTTATTATCTTTTTTTTTTTCCCTTTTACGCCTTGGACTTCTATTGCTTTTAGTGAGATGGACTGGCTTTTTTCTCACCAAGTCATTCAGACCTTTCCAGCAATTTTTGGTAGCCAATTTTTCTCTTCTTTCTCATCACTTCAAAGCAGTTTCCATCTCCGTGCTTCCTCAGCTCCTTTTTCTACTTCTCTCATGCACCAAGCTGCATAAACCTTTCCAATTACATATTTTTCCTGCATACTAAATATACTATTACTTTGTCCCTATGGCATACTCAGCTTGAAAGTTTCAGAGGGCTGAAAGTGATTTTGTTGAATCTTGGGACATGGAAAATTCACAAAATGCATTGGTAAGTTATACCTCCTGAATCAACAACCATTATATTAATTCCATATACAATAACACTTAAAATTTCACAATCATCTTGTTTCTATATAGAGAGAACCAGTTTGGTCTAGTGGTTAAGGCACCAGGCTAGAAACCAAGAGACTGTGAGTTCTAGTTCTGCTTTGGAATGAAAGGTGGCTGGGTGACTTTGGATCACTCACTGTTTCTTAGCCCATGGTGTCAGGGTCAGGCAACAAGCTGGTTGGTCAATTCCTATCACCACCAATGAATCCATGCTTGCTGATCTGGCAAAAGCAGACCCTGCACTTGTGGAAAAATGCTAGGAAGGGGGAAAAATAGTTCCTTGATATTCTGAGAAAAATATCTTGTACTTCAATGCTATAGTCTATTAATAAGGAATTTTCAACGGAAAAGTGACAAGAATCATAGTCAAGCACATCTAGGAGGCATCAGATTAGTGAAGAAGTAAATGACCAAACCCTTTTATCTTCCTATCCCCAAATAAAAAAAGAAAGCCCTTTCTTCTTGTCTTTTTAAATTATGAGTTGGGGGCAAGGATTCTCTCTCAAATTTTATTGAAAACAACACTTCAGAGGACAATATTAGTGCAAAACACTGGGCAATTTTATATCTAAGACTTAAATTAATTGTCAGTTATTTTGCTACTCTAATTTTCTCCAGTCATACCCTACAGACAACTATCTGGCAAGTTAGAGGTTGAAAAGCTATTTGGAGAGGACATTCTTCTGTTTATTCCTAACCCTCACATTACTATTCCTGTATTGATGCAAATGATATATGCCTTTACTGAAATAGCAGATTTTTTTTACTAACTAGTCCAGATCAGAGTTGATGGCAATAGGTGAAAATTTGGTCACCCTTCCATTTAAGGAATATTAATTTCCAATTTGTACCAAAACCATTAAATATTTAAATATCTGTACTGAAAGATATACTGTAACTCGGTAACATGTAATATAAATAAAGTATATACAGAGGTTTCTTCAGATTTGGATAGATGGTAATCATTAAACTTCAACCTTTGGGGAAAGATGCCTGTTCTCAAAATGAATATTATTTCCACATTAATTTATATTCTGAGAGAAATTCCTGTTTAAATATCTGGAAAATATTTTTGGAAAATAAACACTTTGTTTAGAAATAATTATGGGGTTCTTCGATTCTGAAAATATCTTTACAGAAAATGCAATTACCAATTAATGAGGGAGGATTCGTTTTTCCAAATCTGGGGCTATATAATCAAATTTACCTACTGTGAAATACTAAATACTAGAAGCCAAATATTAATGCCCATTTTACAATTTGGGCAACTTCGAAAGATGTATTCCTATTCAGTTACCTTTGGTTGGATGGACAGTATTAGCATCTAAGTGCAACAGAACTAGAAATGGAATATCTAATAAAACCATATTTGATCCTTTTTGCAATGCTAAATTGACTTTATGGGGAAATCCAATATTAAAATTTGGGAAAAAGATGGCGATATGGAAAAATAGGGAGAGTGTTAATGGACTTTATGTTACAACTTACACAACAAAAAATACTTAAAAGAGTTTATTGGACTCCCATTACACATGTACAGTAAAGGACTATTTATGACAGTATAAAGTTGGAAATGCAATAAAACAATGCTTCTTTAAAAGATATGAGTCTACAATGTCCTATACTTAAACTATAATATACTATACTTAAGTTTAAGTATATAAACTGTACTTAAACTAAGTTTGGAGAGAAAGTACTGGGCTTTATAAATGTTAGTGCAACAACAGCTAAAATTTTCAGTATCATATTCTCCTGAATTACATATCTAGTATGTGGAATTTGACAATTAGACAATGAAAATGGATTCTCTGTGCCCTTACTATAGTAAAAAGACTGTACTGCAACACTGAAAAGATGAGTACATAGTTCCATTTAATCAAAAGACTGAAGGCTTGATTACACTTGTTATTTATGAGTGAATTTTCTATACACAGACTTTGTATGGATAAACAGAATAAAATATGGGAAAATATTATTGCTGTGTTTCTTTCACCTAGAGCAGTGGTGGCTAACCATTTTGCCGTTGCGTGCCAAAAGCGGGGGGAGCACAGGGGTGTCATATG